CTGGGGGTCAGGACTCCCGGGTCTGAGGGAGGAGGGACTGGGGGTCAGGACTGATGGGTCTGACGGAGGAGGGGGCTGGGGGTCAGGACTCCCGGGTCTGAGGGAGGAGGGGCTGGGGGTCAGCACTCCTGGGTCTGAGGGAGGAGGGGCTGGGGGTCAGGACTCCGGGGTCTGAGGGAGGCGGGACTAGGGGTCAGGACTCCTGGGTCTGAGGGAGGAGGGACTAAGGGCGGGGCTTCTAGGTCTGGGGAAAGATGGACTGGGGGTGGGAGGTGTTTCTAGGTCCGAGGGAGGAGGGGTTGGGAATGTGGCCTCTGGGTCTGAGGAAGGAGCTGTCTGGGGTCCAGACTGCCCGCTGGCAGACGAGGAAGTCTAGAAACCAGGACAAGATCATTCATCTCCTGACAGCCCTCTTTCCACCCACAGGACCGATCTCAGACCAAGCGTTCAGGTGAGCAGCTTCTCCTATGTATTCCGGCCCTGGCTGTCCCCTGGATGTGGATGGAATTTCGGACCCTCAACTCTTCTGTCTCCCCGCCGTCCATGGAGTCCCCGTCACACCCTCTCCCCTACAAGTCCTTCAGTCGGGTCCCAAGCTGCCTCTCCTGGGGCTCCCTGACCCTCTGCCTTCTCATTTCTTCCCAGTCTCCATGGCTAAGTCGGTCTTTCCTTACAAGAGGATGCTCCTGCAGAAACAACGGAAGGCCAAGGCGAGCAGTCCTGGGGACTCTGAGGGCAATGGCTAGGGTGGGGAGGGGGCTACCTCGTCTAGCCAGTCTCACTGTTTCTCTCACACCACCCCTAGGCATTAAAGCGCAAATTCAAATCCCAGGCTGTGGGTGACTCAATGCCTCTCATCTGGTCACAGATGGAATCCTATGACAGCAGAAAGAGCTTCCCAGAAGACAGGTATACTTGCCCCACCCCACACTGTGCTTGAAAGAAGGATGAGGGGACCCTGGTCTGGATCCCGAGACCCAATGATGTTGTTGTGGTTGGGTGCTGTCAAACTCAATTCCATAACAACCTCATGAGACAGAGTCCAATGGTCCTATAGGGTTTCCTAGACGGTCATCTTTACTGAGGCGGATTGCCAGGTCTTTCCCCTTAATGCTGTTGTTTTTGTTGTTAAGTGCCTTGGAGTCCGTTCCAACTCATCGTGACCCCCATGTAGTTTTTCTGAGGAGCAGCTCGTGGGTTTGAACTACCGATCTTGTGGTTGTCATCTAAGTCCTTGAGTAATGTGACACTAGGGCTTCTTATGAAATATCTAGAATAGGACCATTTAAGGACTTGTGGTGTGGCGCTATAGTACTGGACTGCTAACCACAAGGTCAGCAGTTCAAATCCATCAGTCACTCCTCAGAAACCCTATAGAGGGTCACTATGAGTCAGAACTGACTGGACAGCATTTAACTCCACCACCAACATAGCGGCAGAAGGAAGAAAAAAGGTTACCAGGACCTGGGGGTGGCTAATGGGGAGTTAGGGTTTAATATGAGGACAGATTCTCTATTGGAGATGATGAAAAAGCTGTGGAAATAGAAGCAATGTTTACACAACACTGTAAAGGTACTTCAATGCCACAGTTGGACCTGGAGAAATTGTTTGAGATATGACCTATGTTTTGTTGAGATATGACCTATGGCATGTTTGAGATATGACCTATGTTTTGTTGAGATATGACCTATGGCATTT